CAATTTACAATAGCTAAGATTTAGAAACAGCCCAAGTGCCCATCAATAGATGAGTGGATAAAAAAGCTGTGGTACATCTACACAATGGAATACTACAAAACTGTAAAAAAGAAAGAACTTTTACCATTTGTAACAGCATAGATGGATCTGGATAGTATTATGAAAAGTGAAATAAGCCAGTCAGAGAAAGATATGTATCACATGATTTCTCTCATATGTGGAATCTAATGGATAAAATGATAAATTCAGAGTCATAGAAGCATGAAACAGACTGATGAATTTCAGAGGGAAGGCGGGGGTGGGGCAGATGGGAGGGGAGTGATTAACCAGGAACTTATATGCATATATGCATAGCCCATGGACAGACAATAGAGTAGTGAAGGCCTGGGAGGGGTGGGCAATAGGAACAAAGCTGTTGGTTCAGGGCACTGGTGGTCAACTCATAACAGGCAGGAGAAAACAAAACAGAAGTACAGAAAAAAGGGGGAGCAGGAATACATGGTAGGCCCAATATTACAAGTAGGAGAAATGAGAAGCAACACTTGTACAAAGTATACCCTCCAAACCCAAAGACTAAAATGCAGCAGAATTTCACATTATTATCAAATGTACACATGACTGTTCATCAAGACAGACCACATTATGGGCTATAAGACAAATATTTAAAATTATATAAAATACAATCTCAACCCACTGAAAAATTATACTAGAAATTAGTAACATAAGGTTATCTTGAAAAATAAAAAAATGTATTTGTACATTAATATACTTCTGATTAAATCATGGGTCATAAAGCATATCTCACAGAAAATTAAGGTATTTTAAAGTGAATGAAAACAAAAACGGTTCAAAACATAGAAATTTGTGGGATGCAGCTAAAGTAGCACTGCCATAAATCATAGCTTGAAATGTTTTATATTAGCAAAAAAAATCTCCAACCAGTTACCTAAGCTTCCACTTTAAGAAACTACACAAAGAGCCCCAGATGGATGGCTCAGTGGGTTTGAGTGTCATTCCCTATGCCAAAAGGTTGCAGTTTCAATTCCCAGTCAGGGCACATATCTAGATTGCAGGTTTAGTCCCTCATCGGGGCATTTAAGGGAGGCAACCAATCAATGTTTCTCTCTCTCTCTCTCTCTGTCTCTCTCTCTCTCTCTCTCATCACTCTCTAAAATCAATGAACATATCTTTGGATAAGGATAAAAAAAACTGCACAAAGAAAAGTTAAATCTAAAGAAAGAAGAAAATACTAAAGGTTAGCAAATACAATGAAACTGAAAACAATAGAGAAAAACCAAACCAAAGCCTATTTCTTTGAAAATAAATTTTTTACATGATAAAAACGAACCAAGGACTGCTTCAATTTCTTCCATAGTTATTGACCTATTGAGATTTTTAGATTCTTCCTGATTGAGTTTTGGAATGTTGTATTTTTCTAGGAATATGTCCATTTCCTCTAGGTTGTCTAGTTTGTTGGAGTAGAGTTGTCCATAGTATTGTTTAACAATCATTTGTATTTCTGTGGGGTCTGTTGTTATTTCGCCTCTATCGTTTCTGATTTGGTTTATTTGGGACCTCTCTCTTTGCTTCTTGGTGAGCCTGGCTAGAGGTTTGTCAATCTTGTTTATCCTTTCAAAGAACCAGCTCTTGGTTTCATTGATTTTCTGTATTGTTTTTTTGGTCTCTATGTCATTTATTTCTGCTCTAATCTTTATTATCTCCTTCCTTCTGCTCACTCTGGGCTTATCTTGTTGCTCTCTTTCTAATTCTTTGAGCTGTAGATTTAGATGATTTACTACCATTTTTTCTTGTTTGTTGAGGTAGGCCTGTAGAGCTATAAACTTCCCTCTCAGGACTGCTTTCATTGTGTCCCAAAGGTTTTGGATTGTTGTGTTTTCATTGTCATTAGTGTCCAGGATGTTTTTAATTTCTTCTTTGATCTCATTGGTAACCCAATCAATATTTAATAACATGCTATTCAGCTTCCAAGTGTTTGAGTATTTTGGGTTGTTTTTATTGTAGTTTATTTCTAACATTATGCCATCGTGGTCTGAGAAGAAGCTTTTTATGATTTCAATCTTCTTGAATTTGCATATAAGCATAACCAATGGACATAAGACACTGGGGGGTAGGGGAGGCCAGGGGATTGTCAAGGGCGGGGAAAAAAAGGAGACATATGTAATACTCTTTGTAATACTTTAAGCAATAAAACAATTTTTAAAAAAAACGAACCAAGGAATAACAAGGAGACACGACATCAATATCAGAAATAAATACAAGGAGGGATATAACTACAGATACAACAAACATTAAAGAGATAATAAAAGAATATTGAGAGAAACCCAATGCCCACAAATTTAACAATTTATATGAAAGAACAAATTTCGTAAAAATAAAAAACTTCCAAACTCACTCATGAAGAAAGAAAAGTCCCAAATAGATCTAGTTAAGAAATTGAATATGGGGGAAAAAAAAAAAATACTTAGTTAAAAAAAAACCAAAAAAACAGCTCCAGGACCAAATGGTGTTAACTACTGAATTTTACCAAACATTTAAAGAAGAAATGTCTTCTACATATTCTCTTCATGAAATTACAATATGTGGATTTCCTGAATCATTTTGAGGCCTGTGTACTCACAGCAAAACCAAAGGTAATTCAAGAAAAGAAACCTACAGACCAATATCCCTCATGACAATAAATATAAAATACTAAAAACTAGTAGCTAGCCCTGGCTGGGTTGGCTCGTGGTTAGAGTGTAGGCCTGCGGAATGAAGGTTCACAGGTTCGATTCCACTCAAGGGCAAGTACCTCCATTGCAGTTTGGTTCCTGGCCCCAGTCGGGAATGTGCAAGAGACAACCAATCGATGTCTCTCTCTCACAAAGATGTTTC